AAAGACTCATGAGGAGGCATAAATTGCAGCCTTGAGGCTGAACCTCTTTAATATTCAATGAACAAGGGAAATGAGTCTGACTTGCTGGTGGAGGGGCAGACAGGAGGGAAAAGGAATGAAAGCATAGGTGTCCTTGGTCTTTAGGTTTCCTTAGACAGACTCCTTCTGCAGCTCTTTCCATCCTCTAATCCTGCCCCTGGTGCCTGCAGCATCCCCCAGGGCTTTGCCTGGGGCAGCAGGAGTGAAAGGGAAGAGGAGAAGGGAGCAATGCAGAGATGAGCACGTCCCAGCTGTGGAGGGATTGCCAGAATACTGAACAGAACAGTAACTGCACAGGTAACTAACCTGCCCTGCCCACACCTGCTGGTGTCCCCAGGTAATAAATCTGACATAATTGTGGATTTAGAGCTCTTTCTCAGGGAGCTGCAGAAGTGGCAGCCCCTTGGATCAGATGCTGACCAGGGGAGAGCTCCAGCACACAGTGCTCTGGCTCTTCCCTGTGAGCAGGCAGCAAAGACAAGGAAATGAGCAGTTCAGATAGATGAGACAAGCAGGTCAAGCCCATTTACCTGCTTAGGATCTGTTGGAATCTGAGGTATTGATGCTTCCCAGATTGTAAAAGTCTCTGTCTTTCTGCCCTGCTGCCAAAGAAGAAGCCATAATTGGTCTGTGCTGGTTTCAAGGTTGTTTATTCTGTTTATCTCTAACATGTTCTGCTGCCCTGCCGCAGCTCTGTCCTGCAGGGCAGCGTGTGGGGCTCTGCCCTCAGTGGGATGGTACAAACATTAAATACCACAAACTACCTGTGCTGGATTTACAATAACGTGCCAATATCTGTCACCTACGTTGGACAGTGTGTCCCCAGCCTGAACCAACAGAAAAATGCCAACACCACAGTGAAACGTGGAGGACATGAAGGAGGAGCAAAAGGACAAGACACCAAATTTCCTCCATCTTGTCCCCTTTGGACGCCTAATCTAGAATCTTAAAATTTTACTTTTGCACCCGTGCCACACTTAATTATTACTTATATCAAACACTCAAAGCTTGTAATTCATCCGGTAAGATTGAAAACTCTTTTCCATGGACAGAGATCACAGACAGTGTCTCTGGGGGCTCTGTCCAGGGGGGTTCCTGACCCCTGACAGGGTCCCAGACCTGCCAGGGCAGCCAGAGGGAAGCCCTGGATTCCCACAAGGATCCACTCCCATTTCCCTGTGCAGAAGGGTCCCGACTCTCATCACCTGTTTTATCAGAGAGCAGGGCTCTGCCACTCTCTCCTGTACAGGTGCTGAGCACCAAGGAAGTCTGGCAGAAACGAGCAGAGCCCACTCCTCCTTCTGCTTCAGGCACTGCAGCTTTTGCCTCCTGTCACTGGACATATCTCAGCCTGACCCAAATGCCACATTTCCTGCAGGGCTGTGTGTCCCAGCCAGGCTCCCTGGTGCCAGCAGCCTCACTCCTCTCATTCCTGGCATCCCAGGAAACCCCCCCACACACTGATGGAGCAGCTTTTAATCCTCTGCCTAAGAAAATAACATATTAAGAGGAATCAGGAAGAAATACATCACACTTGGTCTCCTCAAAGCTGCAAACACTGGGCTTGCCACATATTTCCCTGCCCATATGGAGAAGGAAGCTCCCAGCTGACTGACTGTAGCCCACCAGGACAGGGGTGGGAGGCAGCTGCCATCTGAAAGCAAGCAGGGAGACAGCAAAAGCTATGAGACAGGTTCTCTTTAAATGGATTAGCTGCTCCCAGAATATTACAACATTCTTATCTCCTCCCAGTTCCAGGGCTTTCCTGACACTCATGTGCTTTATGAACCTGCTCTCACTAGGTAAATATTAAGGAGCAGAAGGAGCAGAAAAGAAATCAGTAACAGAGGCAGTGGAATGCTGCTGAACCACCAAGAATCAGGGAATCAAAACCAGTGACCTTAGAGAATATGCATATTTCACAATTTCAAGGTACAGGAACAGACATTTAAGCGACATAAAGCTCTGATAGAACTTTTAAGTAACCATTGAGCCTCTACTTGACACGCAGCAGTTTAGGAGCAGGGTTATAAAGTTTCTGCAAGGTACAAGTGAAACCATGGAGAAGATATTTTAAAATCATAGAGGATGAGAAAAGACTCATGTAGATGTTCTGACAAAGCTTTGTCACCTGCCAGCATGGCACTCCTGATTTCATATCCCCAAGTCAGAGGTAAATTACTTTCAGTTCAAATTAGCCCAGTCATTTGGGGTGGCTTTCAAAGCCCAGCTCAGCAGATGGACTTGTTGTCTTCCTTGAAGAGCAGCACCATGTTGAGCAGATCAAAAGTTTTATTTACATTACCCAGCCAGTTCCCAGACATGGAAAGATCTGGTCTGTACCTGTCCCTGCATCTAAATAAACCTGTGCCATTCACCCTGGAGAGCTCTCAGCTTCCTCTCCAGAAGAGGAACATCACAAACCATGCAGAGATGAGGAGGGAGGCACAGCCCAGGCCAGGTATTTGGCACACCCCTGAACAACCTCCCTTGGTGAGGTGGGTCCTCAAAACACCCATCACTGGCTTAGCTCATTAAAGCAGCTTTGAAGCAGGTGGAAAAGCTGAGCCCTGAATCACTGGTGATTTGTTGTCCAGGTTCCTCACCCAAGGGACAATTTGAAGATAAATGAATGGTTTAACACTGTCCCTTGCGTTTCACCCAGGCAGAATGAGCTACTTCCCAGGTTTCACCTGCCTAGAAACACCCACAATTTGCTGTTTTTACTAGCCAAGCTTTCCCACTGCTGTGTTTTACTTTGCAAATGCAGATCAGGAACAAAAGGGCTTCACAGCTTGTGTATCTCAGAGCACAGCCCATGAGTGTGTTATTCTGCTGTCTTCAGCCATCTCCTGTAATCACACTAGAATATTTTAACAAGTACAGCTTGGTGTTGGCTATTTTCCCCCACACTTGTTTGAAAACCAAAAAAAATGGATGTCCAACCCCTCCACAAGGTGCTGCTCTATGAGTGAGACCAGGGACACCAAGGGTGCCACCAACCTTCACTCCCCACATGCACAGGCTCTGTTATTGCAAGGTGTGTAGCAGGACCAGGATCAGCAGAGGTTGGCTTTCTCCAAGCTTCCATCTCCAGAGGTATCCCAGAAATGCTGCTGTGATCCCAGTAAGGGGATGGTGGCCATGACCAGCATCAGCAACTCAAACCCTGCCTGAAACCCTCTGCTTCCCCCACATCCCAGCGTGGGGTTCCCACTTGGTCCCACCCACCAGGTTAAGCCACCCCAGCTGCTCAGCAGCACTTGCAGGCTGTTACTGTCAAATATATGGAAAGTCAGAGCAGCTCTGAGGAAGTTGGGAAGTTTGCTTGGCAAGGTGGGACGTGAGAAAAGGATGTGGGCTTGAGAGGTGTGTGTGCAAGGGTAGAGTCAGGATGATTGAGGGCTGGGATCAGGGTTTGAGAGAGGGTGATGCTGGAGGAGACAAGAATGGCAATCTTGGTCTCTCTTGATTTAGGCTCCTGAGATTAGTTGTTCTCTTCCAGAAGGTTTATTTTGCTTTATTTCCAAATAAGCATGAGATTAAGCTTTTAATTGTTCTTAGGGCTCAGCATTGCAAAAGGCCAGTCTTGGATATTACTGCAGAGGGGGTGTGAAGGAAAAACACATTTATGGGACCAGGGGGATGGGACATAAAATGGGCTCATTTTCAAAATCAATATGTTGGGCCCACGCACTCATCTTGTAAGTAATAAGAATTCTGGTGGTCAATCTTTATCCTCAAGGATGCTTTGCATGGTCTGCACTCCCTTCCTCAGAGACACAGGGAACACTAAGGCAGATAAAACTTGGAGTTCCTGTTGAATTTTAGCTCCTGGCTGAAAGCTGCACCTGCTAAAGCAAACATACTCCATTTGATCAAAAGCAATATATGTTCTTTTAAGATATTCTGTTTCTCATTGAGGAAAAATGTTCCCATCTAGCTGCAAGTGACATTTAAAACCAAGCCTAGTATTTTAACATTTAGATATAAAGCTTAAACGAAAATAAGGGTATTTGAGACTTGTCATAAGAATTAACTAGCTCAGAGCCATACCAATGTTTCTACCAACTCCTTATGTGCATATGGGTTTACATTTAGATATAAACAGAACTGCAGCCTGGCCTTGGGCAGGTGTCACTGTGGCCATGTGGAACTGAGACAAAGGTGAATTAACGAGTGAGTCTAAGGGAAGACTTAAAATTTAACATGTTGGGATAAGTGTTTAAAAATCTAGTTCTTTGTATAAAAATATTTTTTCATGAAACCTTTGGGATTGAAAAAGAGAAAACCAGCAATTTGGCCAAAGATATTTTGATGTTCACATTTTTATACCCAAAAAAAAAAAAAATTTCCACAGGTATGTTCCACAAATGGGCAAATCAAGCATTTAACCAATTGTCTTGAAGCACTTTTGATAATGCTCAACAGCTGTTTCTCTCCTCTGATGGTTCTCAAACACCAAATTCCAATTTTTAAAAAACCTTTGAACCAGAGTAAATGCTTGTTTCAGCTGCCAGCCTCTGGATTTGCTATTGATTCTGTTTAAAGCAGGTTTCAGGAACAGCTTTGGGTAAGAGAGCAGTTGGTGACAAGGAAACTGAAAAGCCCTTTGTGCTGTGCTAACACCTCCATACTGTGCTACTCATGGTTTGCACAGTGAGCAAGGGGAGGAAGAGACCCTTGTTCAAATACCTGATATTTGCTACACCACCAACAAAAATAAACAAGCTGTGTGCAGAGATCTTCCTTTAATTCCAAGGAAGATCACCAAGATGTAAAAATGTTAGATGAGATACTTACTCTTAGTTAGGTGCTACTCATTGGACTGCACCATGATGTAAGGGCAAAGTGCTGATGTCCAGAGAAGGTGGGGAAAAATGCTCCTTTTTGCACAGTGTGTGTCCAGTTCCCAAATGTCAAGGTTAACCCCAGCAGTGATGAGAAAGAGAACTTTTTACATTTAGTAACATTTATTTCTGCATTCGGTATCAAGTACATAAGTGCAAATATTCAGAGTCCATAATTAAGTCCATTAGGAACTACAGAGAATGTAATACAAATCGTAATAAATTGAACATGCTGGAACTTTCCAGTTACCATACATGTAAATCAGCCTGTCAATCCTTTACGACAAAAGTACTGGGTTTTGTTTTCTTTTTTTCTTTTTTTTTTTTTGATTTTGAGTTATACAAAACTGATTACCATAAGTACTGCTTACTGTTTATTTTATTTGTGCTGGAAAACACTAAAACATCAGTCTACAATTCTATATAGTTAATAAAGATGAATCCAACCAGCAACCCAGTGACGTAGAAGCAATTTTAACTATTGCATCAAGTGCGCTAAGCAGGAAAGCCCCTAGCCACATGTAACATTAAAAGTTATAGAAGCAATGCCAATAGAAGAAGGAAAAACACTAAAAAAAAAAATTAAATAAAGAGGTCAATATTATTTAGGCTCTCACCATCATGCACTTTATAAGCAACACAAAAAACCACATCTAGTACACTTTTCTCTTTACTATACTTTAGTGCTTGACACAAGTGATTGCAAATATTCTAAGTGCAGAAGCAGCAGGGGAAAAGCACTGCTTCTGAGTTTTATGTTTCTAAGATTATGGTGTTGAGGAAAAAAAAAAGAATGATAAATTTGCAGTAAAGTGTAAGAACAGAGCTGTTTTCACTCCAGATTTCCCCATTATGCACTACTGTAGTCAATGAATTCTTGATGTCTGCTTTACTCTGCCTTTCTCTTAGCACCTGGGATTTTAGCTTGAATCCTAAAAAATAAAGAAGAAAAAGAAAAAAGGATTATATGGTGAGGCAGTTATTCCATTCCAGTGGATGATCTCTAGTCCACGCTAAGGGTGTTGTCTCAACAGGTGAATTAAAGTGCCATGAAAAACAGAAGTGAAAAAACAGAAGTGAAAAACAGAAGCCCATCTAGGTGTGCTTACAGGCCTGGTTTTTGGTGGTTCATATAATCTAGGAATATGTTCAGTGATATTCTCCCCCCAGCATTATTTCTCCATGGTCTATTGTCTATACAAAGCCAGGAATAGAGTCTAAAAATAGAATTTTGAGAATAAAATTTCAAAACTTCACCCAGATCTTCTGGGGATTTGAAACACTGAAGATCGTGCTGCTTCCAGGTATTTGCTTTCTGTGACAGGGTGGTGTCCTAATTCCCACTTTGGTCATTAATACTATCAATTCATGTGAAAAACAGGCTTGGAGTGGTCAGTGAGGAAGAGAATTAACTCATTCCTTCCTGTTTGTCCTGGCCAGGTACCATTGTGGACACCAGTCCAGGACTGGGCTGCTCTGTCCACAATTCCCCAAACAGAGGGGAGGTACAGAAGGGTTTCTCCAGGGATCTGCCCTCCCTCAGCCCCCCACATTCCAGGATCTGGGAGGACACCACTGATAGGACACAGTGTCCCCAGGACCACCCAGGTCCCAGCCACCCCCAAGGGCACCACAACCTCCCACAGTTGGCTGCTGAACTCACTTTGCCACCACCGTGTTTATGTGGGTCCGCACCAGCCCCAAGTATTGATCAATCTGTGCCTGCAGGGAGCAAGAGGAGACCAAGTCAAGGAGGCAACAACCAGGCAGAGCCACCCAGCCACCCCAAATGCACAGTGCAGACAGACCCACCTGGTACTTGTCATATACAACGGGGAGAGTAAACATAGACACCACAGCTGAGGAGAAAAAGAGCACAGTGTTATGTTCCTGCAGATCAGATTCCCCCAGAGCAGAGACCTACTTCGGTGGCAAACACCTTATCGTGCCACTTGGGCAGCTGATCCACCAGGGAGCTTTGTATTAAACATGCACTTTGCTCCAGCCTCCCAAATATGGAATTCCCCATTGCTCTGGGACTGGGAGCTGCACAAAACCATAAACTGCAAAGGAGCTCTAGAAGGAGGGACAGCGTAACAGAACAATGAATTTTTAGGGAAGGGAAATAAAAGTTGGTGGTTTAACTGAGGGGAAGGCATGCCAGGCCTAGGGTGTTTTGTCTAAGTTGAAATCTGGAGGGAGTTCAAGTTAAAAATAGATTTTTAAAAGAAATGTTGGTTTTTACCCATTATCAGAAGAGTCAGGCCATTGAAGAGGGCTCCCACGTAAGTCAGCAGCCACATTAGTACTGCAAACTGAATTAAAAATGGATCATTACATCACCTCCAGTGCCAGCATAAGAAGAAAGCAGTTTGCTTAACTAGCTAATATAACGGCACATTAGCCTTTTTTGATGTGGAAGAGAGTGATTAAGGCACATTAGGAACTAGACAGTTTTTCTAGGTGTACAAACCCCATTCTCTGTTCTGCTTCTCTCCCCTTAGCTCAGCTTTCATGTCTATTCAGGGCTTAAATTCCATCCATGTATAACTCTGCATTGAGAATGGCACAGGCAGATTTCTGCATCCAATTTTTATGATGGCAGGGGTCACCCCAAACTGGTTAAACAGAGCCCTGAAGTGGTAATCCCAGGGACTGATAACACTTGAGGCTGAAAGATGAGTACGTTTTCCTAAAATTCTTCACTAATTCTGGAGTGAATTATCTCATCATCTTCCCTTTGCTCTAAAGGACACCTGCTTGAGTATAAGACTAAAAATCAATAGTTATTTCAGCAGAGAGTGACAGAAGATCTTCTTCCATAGCAGGAAATGCCACCAGATGAAATCCAGATTAAGAGAGGGGACCATTATTTTATAACAAAGTAATAGAAAGCATAATGCTGGGATGCTTCTAGAACTGAGGTGGAGCTAAGCTCATTCTGCAAATTTTTACATGCTGTATTACCTGTCAATATATTCAAATGCCAAATCTCTAAAGTGCTGGAAACAGTTTTTAAATCAAAAAGCCGAGCAACTTTCATATTTGGAACTACACAAAAGTAGGTTTCATGACAACCCTGTCAACCTGGGAAGCAGCTCTTTGAAATGTAGATTGATCCTCTAGAGAGGGGTTAAAAATATTCAAAGCAATCCTACTTTTAAAGAATCCACGAGGTCCTGAACGAGAAAGAGTCTCCTCAGCTCTTTGACTGTGCTGTTGACGTATAGCTGGAGACAATCTGTGTATTTCTGGATCTGGTCCTGTGAAAGATTCATCTCCATCTCCAAGTAGGCTCTGCCAGAAACACAGGTCCCGTTACAAACCCGAGAAGTTTCCCCTGCTGTTCATGCTCAAACCCATCCACCTCATCATTCCCTCCTTCCCAGACCTCATTTCTTTGTGCTGGAGCAACAATTTCCCCTCCCTGCAGGCCCAGGGCCACGAGCACAACCTCTTCACACTGCATGACCCATCTCTGGGTGATGCTGAGCTGGGGCTGTTCGCCTCCAGCCTTGCCCTCTTCCCACACAGAGCCTGTCTTGATGGGATTTCTCTCTTTTTTCTCACCCAAAGGGGGATACAAATCTGACCTGGGAGATTTCCCCACAAGTTTCTGTGCTGTTCTCTGAGCTACAACCACCATCCTGAGTTACTGCTCAGAACTGATCCAAGTGAAGGAGGAGGAGCAGCACCCCAACAAGATTATTATTTAGTTGTGTGTTTGTAAACCACACCAGTTCCACAATCTAGTTGGCACAGCAGAGGAGGAAAGGATCACTGATCTTGTGGAGAAATCCACCCAGACCCTGTGGAGAGTGGGGAGTGCATTGGCACTGCCACCATCACTTAGATACTGCATTGCTGGAGAAAAGATACAGATAGTTGCCTTCTATGCCCAATAGATTGTGCCCAGAAACAATGCTCTTTTCTCTTGCAGGTATGCTGTATTATCAATAGCTCTAACGAAACTCCTTTACTCTTTTTTGCTTAAAATTTCCCATATCATTTTGAGATAAAAATCCCATGTCCTAGAGGATGAAAATTTTTGTGGTGCATGCGCTGTTTTTCCTTCTCTCTCCAGTATCTAAGCTGACAGAACCTTCCAATTTTTGAGAAACTGTGAAAATATCGTTATTTGCTTGATGAGCAAGAAGATAATTCCTTCTGGCACAAAAGCAGCGCTTGGGCATCACCACAAAGCCACTCACTTGAAGGGGTGGCCCTCATCTGTCTTCTGCACGGCCTGTAGGACTGATTTGTAGATTCTGAAGCTGATGGTGGCCGAGAGGCCGGCCAGGGCCAGGTAGGCCACGACGCTGACGACGCTGAACTGGGTCAGGGAGAAGAGCAGCAACAGGAGGCTGCCGAAGACGATCCCCGTCTGCTTGATGTCACGCCAGTACAACAGGTCGATGGCTGGGGGAGAAGAACAAATCGTTAAAGGCATCGGCGGCAGCCACGACGGGCCCTGGGTGACCCTCAACGTCTCTGCTCACAGCAGCACCAACAGGAGCTCCTCAGCAGGAGCAGCAGAGGGACTCGAGTGATGGGCTGAGGAAATTGCAACCGATGACCTACTTGAAATCCTTGTTTTGCTTCTGCCTGTGCCGGGGTTAGATAAGATGGATGAGTATCTCCAACCGCAGCACGGTGGGTGGGTCCCTTGCAGCAGCAAAGCAAGTGCAAGCTGGGGTTTGTCTTGTTGCTAGGGCTGTATGGAAGATTTCAACCTACCTTGCATTTACTCAGTCTGAAAATTCAAATGTTTTATTTGTTTTGTTTTGTTTGGGTTTTTTTTGTTTTGTTTTTTCACAATTTCAAACGCCAATTTCTTCATCAAAGCGTTTTCCAGTTTTGGTTGTTGATAAATGAATGAGAAAGTTTGGGGCTAGCCACAATAAACCACTTTGTCATTCAATGTTTTGACAATTTAATTTTGTTATTTCATAAGTTTTGAGGAAGGAGAAGACTCCTGGTTTTACCACTGCTTAATGGTTCCATGAGTAGGAAGTAATTTTTCAGATAAGGCCTTCAAATACAGAATAATCTGTCTTGCTACTCAATCCAACCTCAGAATCAGAAATAAAAAAGAAAAAAAAAAAAAAAAGCTTTCAACTTGTTATATAACTTCCCCTGTCCATGGAAGGTGCTGGTTAGAACAAAACAAGTGCATAAGACCATTCGCAACTAGTGCATTTTTACATGTTTAAAGCAGTTAACTTTTACAGTGTTTTTCACCCACTTTGCGTATTTTATTTCAACCTCTCCAGCAAAAAATTTTAGCACTGGAGACAGACACTAAAATAGCAAAATTTTATGAAAGGATTGTGGAATATCCATTCCACAAAGGTGAACTTAATCTGTTTACACCAACAACCTGTTTCTGAGAGGACTCTTCATCCAGCCAGAGAACGTGCTCATGACAACCTAAACAAAACAGCTTTAATTTCACACACTGCACAAGTCCTCAAGAACAGCTTGAACACACCACCAGCCAAACAGATTTGAGAGATGCCACTTGTCAAATCACTGAATGAAGAGTAAATTCAGGAAAACTGCAATCTGTCAGAAAAAAAAGTCACCGATACTAAAAGAAACAAAATTAATCCAGCCTCTTAGTCCCGATCATCAAATCTCCAAAAATTTTGAGTCATCACGGCGTGTTTGCCTTGAGTCAATGAGTTCTATTACTCATTACTATTACACATATTAGCCTTGCTTTACAGTGATGGGCTTGAATGCAAAAATTGCTTTTTTATTACTCAGCTCTCCTCTCTTCATGCACCATTCACATCCAATTATATTCTCCATCAATATACACGATATATGAACGTTTTGCTATTTTTAAGCGTTCAGCAACAGACCTGTGATCATGAGCACACAGGACTGGATCCTGTGGGCTGCATGGAAGCCACAGGATAAGGGACCCTGGTGCCTGTTTTGGGATCCTGGGTGGTGACTCCACAAAACAGGGACCAGTCTTTTACAGTATGTGCCCATGCCTGCTTCCTGCAGAAAACCTGGGGCAGGGAGTATGGAATGCTCCAAAATGCAGTTTTGCATTGTCAGAGTGCCTGGATGAGGAGGTTTAGCAGCAGACACAGCTGTACTGCAGGACACAGCTGGAGCTCCACAGATTGCTCACGGTGAGGATGTGATGGAGCATGCAACTCCATCCTTGCAAACCATCCTTACAAAATGGCATCCAGAGCACAAGAGTGCAGGTTTGGCCATTTTTCATATTCTTTTTCAGTAAAGGTACTTCAAAATCCTGCAGCACAACAACTGGGTGCTCCTGTCACCAATGAGCATTTGGACAGGAGGTGTTATATTTTCTGTGAGGGTGTGAGGCCCTGGCACAGGGTGCCCACAGAAGCTGTGGCTGCCCCATCCCTGGAAGTGCTCCAGACCAGGCTGGATGGGGCTTGGAGCAAGTGGAAGGTGTCCCTGCTCATGGCAGGAGGGGTGGGATGAGATGATTTTTAAGATTCCTTCCAACCCATTCTAAGATTCTATGATTATTCACAACCTGGTAATTTTTGTGCTCAAAAATTACTCTGTCAGAATACTGGAAATTTAAGCAAATCTGACTTTGAGATACTTAAGTTGTCTATCACACAAAACCTCAACATTAAATTAAATAGGCACAGGTGAGCTGGTGTATGTGGTACATCATCTGCTGATGGCAGAGAAAAGACACATGCCAGGGGAAAACATTCCCTAGGACACAGGCAGTAAAGAGGCAAACAAATGAGGACTGAGCCAAAAAATACAAACTGAATTCCAATAGAGTTCCCTGAGTCAATCCCAATTAATTATAAGATCCAAAATGACCAACTAAGCCTTTTTCTTCCAATGATCTTCAAACTCAAACTCCTGCAGACTGGCAGTGGGTTGCATTCTCATGTAGAGAGATGCCAAACTGCATTTTCTCATTCTCCTCAAAAGGGAAGATGCTGAGTTACTCAAGACAGACTTGACCAGGTATGTGTATATCCTGAAAGTCATCTGTTCCTGCCATGGAATGACTGGGATATTTACTCAGCTGTATCAGGTAAGGAAAGGATCAGAGCGAGATGGACAGAGGCCAAGTGACACAGTTCTGGGAACAAGTGCATGTGTGAGGGAGGAGATGAAAAAGCATCTGGCCTCTTTCTCCAGCCAAAGGAGAGCTGGGAGAGAGGGATCCTGTGTCTTTTAGACCTGAGGCAAATACTCCCATGTGCATGGAAAAAAAAAAGTGCCAACTGCTAGCTGGAAAATCTCAGCACAGAAAAGAGCGATACGAGTTCAGTGATTTTTACATGGCTCTCCCAGTGCCCAGGTCCATCCTTGGGAGCACATTCCCCTCACCCACAGCCTGCCAGGTCTGTCAGGATTCTCAAGGGCAGGAACAACATCTGCCTTCTCCTCATCTCCCTCGAAGGGATGGAGCTGCAGCACTGCTGCCCTATCCAGCTGCCTGGGTGGGATTTGATGTTCCTGTAGCCATTCCTCCTCCTCTCCCTTATGGAGAAGGGGCTGAGCCAAACCTCTTTGCAAAAGGTGACACAGGAAGGAGGTGAACCTCAAAGATCCTTGGGCAGGGAAGGGGAAGAAGGAGAATCCAGAACTAAAAAACAGTGGAGACTTGGGAAGATTTTGTCTGGACAGGCCTCAGGACACCTGAGCTACACCTGTCAGAGCCATGTTTTCTCTTTCAGTTGCAGCTTCAGTCACTTCAAAGGCCTTTTAAATTATTGGAATGGAATGAATAGAATAGAATAGAATAGAATAGAATAGAATAGAATAGAATAGAATAGAATAGAATAGAATAGAATAGAATAGAATAGAATAGAATAGAACTGACTGTTTCAGCTGGGAGGCACCTACAAGCATCACCTACTCTAACAGCCTGACCAATTCAGTGCTGACCAAAAGCTAAAGCATGTTTTTGAGGGTATTTACCAGATGCCTCTGAAACACTGACAGGTTTGGGGCACAGACTGTCTCTCTACAAAACACTTCCAGACTTTGACCAGCCTCTTGGTAACGAAATGCTTCCTTGCTGAGACTAGTTAAACACATTTTTCTCCTACATTTCATTACCTAAACAAATCTCCCTTAAGAGCAGGGACAGGAGCTCTGGGTGCAGAATGCCCCAGCTGGGATCCTTTGCCTGGCTTCCTTAGAGTGCCATTTTCTCCTGTAACCATTTACACCAGAGCCAAAGTACCTGTCACATCAGTGTCTGGTGCTGTAAATAAAGACCAAGGGGCAAACAAATCAGAAATTTTCTCACTGACCATCAGGTAAACCCAGACTTCTTTTTTATTCTAAACAGGAATTGAAATTAAAGATGAGGTTGTCCAATGTTAGAATCTGAAATGCAGGGAATTCTCAGAACTCTGTGCCTGTAAGCCAAAGCTCAGAATTAAACACAGGATTTGATCTGAGATCTTGGGAATGGCTTCCAAACTTGGGTGTTAGGATCGAGAATATGGATTTATAGTTTAAAGTAGAGACACATTAAGCTAAGTAGAGGAAAATTTAGGGTTTTAAAGTACAGTACTGTAGGTTTGTGTGTCATAACATGATTGGCTAAGAAAGCTTACACTGTGCATGAGTCCATAAGATGAAATATTTAAGGATTGGGTCAAAACCATAAATATCCTTGTTGATAGTGTTTTATTGGTTAATAAACCCTTCAAAGGTCTTGTAACTAAGGGTCTCGTGACCTTCTGAGCCATGCAGTGAAGATGTCAGCCAAGCTCACCCTTCTTGCCTATGTAGAAGAAAAATAAATCACATAATCAAAAGCAATTCAGAGTCCTGTCTCTAACTCATTCAAAATTCCTTCACAAACCCCTGCAGTCCACCACACTTATATGTCTGCTTTGAGTTTTATCTCACCCTATATTCATGTAAAACCGATTAAGACACCAAACAACTCCTCCCAAACACTCTCTGACCCCATGAGTTTAGTGTCTTACAACAAGTCACTAAGTATAACCAGTGCCTGAGCCTTTGCTGAAAGGCATCTGCCTGTTCCTGCCTGTTCCCCTTCCTTGGCATACTGAAGAAACAACCAGCCAGGCCCAGAGCAGCCTTCCCAGCACATGGGGATGCAGTGGGAAGGAGGATGACAGGGCCAGGAGTGGAGCTGAAGTGCAGCTTTCACACACACAAACACACACACTCCTCTGCAGAGCCACTCGCCAGCACGCGCCAGCCCCACACTCAGCCGGGCTGAGACAGCTTCCAGCCCAGCTCTAAGGTGGGTACAGCATCCCCCAGATAAATTAAAGGCTAGAAGACACCTTACAGCACGGATTAACCACCTAGTAATTGAATGCTTTGGTCAATCAGAAGGGAAAGAATAAAAGGCCCTAGTGTGGGGCAGGGTCCTGCAAGCACCACGTGTTTTACTGGCAAGG